TTTGTAATAAACTTTTTATGCTTGTGTAATAATACCTGCTTAAGGAGCCTAAAGTCTCCATGTGGACTGAACACTGCCCGTGGCCCACATGGGGACCTTCTGAGGTTCTTCCCATCAGTGGCTTATTGCCAAATAATCTTATGCCAAAGAGCAAATGAGCAAATTTCCTTGTCAGGAGAGTTGTGGGACTGGTCTTAGGTGGTGTTCATTTCCCAGGAAGTTGTTAGTATTTTCTTTTTTTTCTTTCTCTACCCTTTTTGTTTCTCTTTCTGCCCAAATACCTGCAAACCCCTGACTGAGGTGGCCCTTCCATCCCAAGGACACAGGGGACTCCTTCATTATTTTATAGAACACCTTTAGTAAGATCTTTGTGTATCCTTTCAGGAGCAGATAAGCAGCCTTTTAAGAGTGGTCATATTATCATTTCAGGAATGTTTTGAGTTCTGCCAAAGTCATTTGGTTCTTGTGCACCTTTTTCTCAAAGTCTCTCCTTCTGAAAGCTTGTTTGCTTCATAATGAAAATGGTTTTTTTTTGTGTGTGCCAAAACACTTCAAAGCCTTTTTCTATTTTGCACCTTCTTTATTTTTAAAGTATGAATGGAACATATCCTAAATCAACTTTCTTTTTTTTTGGCTAGAAAGTGGAATTAGCCTTTTCTAAAAGCTAAGACAGCAATCCCTAATTGTCCTTCAAGGCTTTTTCTATACTTTTTTCCAATTTGAATGTGCATGACCTGTGTTCAGTATTCCAGATGAAAAAAAATTGCTGTGCTGCTTATTTTGTAATTTTTTTTTAGTGTATTTTTCTTTTTTGATGTGTGGAATGTATTTGATCTGGAGAATTTAATTAAATTAATATATATTCTTTCTTATAAAAGGCCAGTTCACAGAGGGGGAGTTAATCACTGAGAGTAATACCAGAATAGTATCATCACTTTGTAAAGGTTCTATTTATTACATTTATATAATCAGTATAGAATGGGTTTGAACATCTGTAAATCATGGTATAACAAATGCTTTAAATGTTGGGATTAAATAAAACTTTATTTGCTTATCAAGAAAGATGCCTCTAATGGCCTTTTATTTTGTACTAATATTTATTCATGCCAAATAGGTTTAACTCACTCATTCTATTTAGCAACAAAAAGGAGCTGACAATAAATAGGACTAGTTGGGGAAAATCTTCCACCCACGCTGCCAAGTGAGGTGTGGTGGGAAGTGGGAAAGGTAAGGCTAAAAAATACAGGCTGAAGAGATAAGGCTGTGCTACAGAGGGAGGATCCTAAGAGGAATATCTTTGGGAAGGAGCAGGAGAAAATGAGTGGTTTGTGGTTTTCAGTTTTGATCCTTAAGCCCTGGGGTGGAGAAAGGGGTGGTCTGTGTTTGAGGGGTCTGTGTAAGAGATACTAGAAGCCTTCAGGGGTGAAGGGGTTTGTTGAGGATTTGTATCCACACTTGTTTGCTTTCCAAATAAGAAGAAAGACCCCTGTTTTCTAAGTTTGGAGAAGATTCTAGCCACTGTTAAATAGCTTGTGTGCTGAAGCCATGAATATTTTCCTATGTTGGGATACAGGCACATTATGAAATGCTGACTCAGCATTCGTGCTATTAAAAACAAGCTCTGACTTGATTTAAAGGACAAATTCTTCATTTCTTCCACAGCTGTGTGTTCTGAGCATGTAGGATGTTACATTAGACCATTCCTTCCTAGGGGCTGAATTTCCAGGATGGGTATGAATGGAGGGGGTGCCCTTGGCTTGTGTCTGTTGAATCTGCTTGCCAAACCAGCAGACACACTAGCCCATCTTCTAGGGAGGTGCAGGGAGTTTACTCCTGCTGTATGTTCTCCACTGGGAGTATCCAGGGTTGACAGAGCCCCACAGAAATGGGTGGTGAGAAGGATTTTGCTCTCGTGGTAAGGGCTGGGTGGGCAGCACTGAGCAGAGTCATGTGCTGGAGGAATGCTGACAATGGGTCATGAGAGGAAGTCTGGTTCCAATGGGCAAGTCTTGTGAGGAGCAGCTGAGGGAACTGGGGTGGTTCAGCCTGGAGAAAAGGAGGCTCAGAGGAGACCTTCTCACACTCTACAACTTCCAGAGAGGAGGTTGCAGCCAGGTGGGGTTCAGCCTCTTCTCCCAAGGCACAAGTGAAAGGGCAAGAGGAGATGGTCTCAAGTTGTGCTGAGGGAGGTTGAGGTTGGACCTGAGGAACAATTTCTTCCCCCCCTTGTCCTTGTAGTGACAGTGTCAGAAGTGTATGTGTAAGGAGGGTGGTTTCAGTTACAGCTTTAAAATCATGGCTTCTACATGGGAACTGGCTCAGTGATGACCAATTTAATCATTAATCCCTTCTGCTTGTTTTACTAGTATTGTGCTGCTGCACCTGGGCTCTGAGTTTGACTTAGTTAATGATGGTTTTGAAGCACTCAGCTCTGCATTAATACTGTGACTTGTCACAGTGCCCTAGGGTAAAAAACATCTGAAGAATGTGAAACATCTGCTTGGTTTTCACAGGGATGAACAGTTTCCTTTGGGGATACACACGGTGCAATTCCATCCTACTTCCATCCAATTCCATCCAGCAGCATGCTGAGGAATCAAGATGCAGGTTAGAAATGAAAGATCAGCAGAAGGTCACATATATTTGAATTAAAGAAGTCAGGAGATGGAACATACCTGTGCATCCTCTGTAGGGGTAATTTTTTTGGAGGTTTCACAGGCTGGAGTTACCCCAACAACACCATTTCTCAGAGAGAATCTCAATCATTAAATTACCAGCCAACTGCTCTGGAAAAAAAAAAAAAGCATTTCTGAGCTCTGTCAGGTCCTGATTTTGTGGAGACCTTGGAGTCAAGATTTTTTCCAACTTTCATGGAATTCTATAAGTAATGTTAAGAATTATTGTGTATTTGTGGGATCAGGGCTGAAAAAGCTTCTCTGCAATGCTCAGCAGTCCCTTGCAGTTCTTTCCTTGCCAGCTCAAGGGCTGTACCTCCTCACATTTGTTGTTACCTGTCTGCCACACAGACAATTCCACTTCTTCACTGTTGGCAGGGTGGTTTGGGTTGCTATGTGCATTTAAGATGTTTTTCACAACTTGCTTGTAGGTCTTCTGAGCAGAAATGCCTTTATCACAGCTACAACACTGTAGGCTTCCTCCTCCTTGGAGTCTGTAGTCTTCAAAAGCTTGTAGAGCATTATCTCAGTGGGTATGTCAGTCTAGGGGTGGGCACGTTCACTCAGCAGTTCTGTCCTCTGGTTTGCAGGAGGGTGTGTTGTTGTTCTTTGGAACCTATCCAGTAGTTTGTGCTCATGGTCCTTTTGGCTTGTGGCACATTGCACTGGCTCCTTTTTTTTGCTGCCTTGTTGCTCTGTGAGCTCTTGGTTGGCAGTTGTGTCCAGTTGTTGGCCAGGAGTCTCAGCACTTGTCTGCTATATTTCACTTTTTCCATCCCTCTCCACTCTTCCTGTGGTTGTACACACTGTTGTAACAAAATTGTTCAACAGTGAGGAGAAAGATGTGCTTTCATGGCAATGCTCTTCAAAATTGTGTGGGCTCCTGGTCCATGCTCAACCTTTGGGCAGATTTCTTCAGATGGTGGATGGCTCTCATGTAGTGAGGGCCACCTGGGGGTTTTATGGTGGTCTACATCTCTCTTGCCTTTCTAATTTTGTTGCTTTTGTTTTGTGTAATCCATTTCCTAATTGCTAAGCCCCATTCTCAATGTGGGACAGGCCAAGGCTCAGCTCTTCAAGAAATTGTTCTTGAAAACAAACTTCTGATAGACACTATGGGAAGGTGTGTTTTGTTTGGACTAGTGTAACAGGTTTGTTTGGTTGACTTCTGACTTATTTTCTGGTAGGTGTGGAGAACTAACTGATTACATTTACTGGCTTGTAGTTTTAATTCATAAATCCCTGCTGATCTTCCACTGGAGGGATTTTTTTTTTGATTTCAAAGTCATAGAACATGAAGACCAACTGTTCAGTGGTGTGTGGAGGACAAAACTGATGACAGGCATCCCAAAGATATGTGGGAAATGGAAGATGTAAGATGTTAAGGCTTGTTTGAAAAACAGAAATCAGAAAGAAAATTAAAAGTTAAAGGTTTTTAAAGACGTTGGGTCAGGCACTTTAAGATGTCTTCTGTTTTCCCTTGGTTTTGACAAGCAAAAGAAGCACTGCTCTTGGTCATAGTTTAAATTTTACTAAGATCATAGGTTCATTGGAGGAGTAATTTTCTTAGAAGTATTTTTCTTAGGGCTAGCAAGGACAGATTCTTATTCTTCACTTACCTGCTGCTTTTTCAACATGACTGCTCTGGGTCTGCTCAGCTGGAAAAGTTTTCAAAGCAGGACTTTCTCCAAAGATTACTAATTTTTAGTGACTTACACAAACTTATGCACTTTGCCAGACTGCTCTATCAAATGATTTGATACCAGAACATCAGCTTTCTTCCTAGAAGATAAGCTTTCAAGCATGGATGCTGGGTGCCCTGGAGCATTTAGAACGTGGTATTTATTTCTCAGAACCTTCCAGCTGGTGTTTGCATCTAGACTTGAAGTGGGATGTTAAGGGTTGTGTCTTCAGCAGCTCAGTAAGTTGAAGCACTGAGTGCAAAGCATTGGCCTTCACCAGAACTCCCCTAATTAATTCCTTCTCATTTGCATGAGTGTTAAGCAACTCCTAATTGCATCACTGGAGAAAGATGGCACCAAATCCTTCAAAGTGCTCCTGAAAATGGAGAACGCCTTCTGGTGTGGTGGTGAATCCTGTCCTTGCTGAGGGGTTGGCAGTTGTGTTGCAGTCCTCTGCTGGGCTAAGCTAGTGGAGCCATTCCCCCATCAGTTATTTTAACACCTTAAAATCAGAGAACTTTTGACTGGAAGAGACCTCTAGGGTTGACTCCAACCATTAACCCAGCACTGCCACTTCCATTGCGGACAACCCCCAGATGCGTTTAGACCGTTCTCCACAGCTTTGAAGACAGAAGATGGTTATATTTTGGGGTTTTTTTTTGTTAATTTTATTGTTTATTTGGTACGTAGATACCCCAGAGGAGTTTTGGGATTGATTATGACCGTGGGTGCTTTGTGAAGGATGGGAGACCCTTCCGTTACATCTCGGGCAGCATCCACTACTCCCGGGTGCCCCGCTTTTACTGGAAGGACCGTCTGGTGAAGATGAAGATGGCAGGGCTTGATGCCATTCAAACGTGAGTAGCTGTTGACTTTCCAAGTGCTTTGTAGCCCTGGGAGACGTGGGAGTAGTCAAGTGGAATGCTGCCATTGTGACTTGGTTTATTTGTTTTTAGGTAATAGGTGAGAAAGCTCTAGAAAAGTGGCATAGGATGACCTCTGACAGCACAGACTGGGACAACTGGGCAGGGTATAGCTAACCTGCCACTTCCCTACTGATAGGCAGCACCTCTTGCTTCACAACCCAAACATGACCTGAAATAAATTAACAGACTGTGAACTTTGGCAACTAGGGGTGAGTTGTACATGCCCTGCCGTGGGTGTTGCCATCTCCGGTCAAAGGGCAGAGGAGGTGAGAGGGAACAATAACCTCTTTCATGCAGCCTGGCTTGTATGGCTTCTATCTCCCTGAAGCCTTGGAAATCCTGCTTGGCAAAGGCCACAGGAGTAGTTAAAGCTATTTCAACAGGAGTGTTTAAAATGAGAAAAAGAGTTGGGAAGTAGGTGCAGCTCTTTAAGTAAAAGAGCCAACAGTTTGAACAGCTTTCAGCTGTCTGCACCAAATCTTTCCTACTTGGCTGTGTACTTATTACAACAGGTCAGGCACAGATTAAAATAAAGAATGTAGCTTACTCTTTTGCCACTGCTTCCTTGACAAGGGAAGAGGAGTAGTAGAAGAGATGGAGGGTGAGGGGAGAGCTTCTCACTCCTGACAGCTCCCTGAAAGGAGGTTGCCCAGCAGGAGAGTTGTTGTTGGTTTTGTTTTCTGCTGAAGCAAGTTCTGTATTCCCTCACATCACAGAAGAACCATGGGGTGAAGTGACACTTGCTCAGGACAGAGTTGCTGGAACTGCCTGTGTGATGTTTTTTTGCTGCAATAAAAGTATCTCAAATGGACCTGAAAATTACACTTGTCTGGCTTGAAGATCAGCATGGGTCCTATGACTCCTTTGATCTGCAGTGTCTCATACTTCCCTTCCATCCCTGGTGTATTTTCCTTCTCCCAACACCCATATATCTTCCATGACCTGTGCTCATTTCCAGCCTTTTCAAGCAGTCTTTTTAATTTGAAATTGCCTGCTCATGTCTCTGCTGCATCCCTGGTCCTTAGAGGCAGTCCTTTTCTTTCTCCTTCTCCCCAGCACTGACTGGAGATTGTCTTGTGTTGCTGGTGTAACTGGTCTCTGTTGGTCTTGGGAGAGCTGAGTTGTTTCTGTTTTGGCACAGAAGGTACAGTTCAACTAGCAAGTGTTGCCCTGTGGTTATGGGACCTGTGGCTTTAGGTGGTGTTGCTGGAGCACTGATGACAGAGAACAGGTTTTTTACACCCTTCTTTTCTTTTTGGAAAGCAGACTGGGGTTCTTTAATTTTCTCCTCCATCTTTACTTACCTTTGGATTTTTTTTTTCTGCTATGGTGAAAGACAGCTCCCAAATGTGCATGTCATAAGCAGAAAGAACCCCTGTGCCTTGATTCTTCTACAAGAATCAAATCCATGCATCTTCCCATTGAACACTGATCTCTCTCCTTCTCTGTGCTAAAAAAAAAACCCAATCCAACAGTCTGCAGTTAGCCAAGCCTTACTGCACTCTATTATTTGAGATAAAGCAATATATTCTCCTGTTAGCCCAAATAACTGCTGTGATTGTGCATGATTTTGGTAAAAATAGAGATTGGTCTAGATGATTATTTAATTGTGGGTTTGTTTTCTCTTCTTCTGCCTGCTCTTTCCAGGGTCAGTAAAATTATTAGCAAGAAACAGATACCAGTTGTGTGAAGTCGTTCTGGAATGGGCAGCAGCACTGCCACACCCTCTGGCAGAAGGTGGTCATTGGCTTCCCATCCTTAGGGCCACCTCTGAAGACTGTGATTTTGCTGCTTGGGGTTTTTCTTATGAGCCAGAGAAGGGTCTTGCTATAATGTGAAGTGTGGGAGCCTGCCTTCTTCTTAACCAAGGTGCTCCCCGTGGGCCTTATCACTTCAAGAGAAACAGGATCCTTTGATTACAGGGTTGTCCTCATAAATACCTTGTGGTCAAAGCAAGCCAGACCTGCTCTCCATCCTGTTCTCTGCAGCCTCATTTCCAAAAGACTTGCTGTGCTTTGATGCATCATTTGGCTAATGAGTGAGTGAGCAGCTCTTTTAGACTCTTCAATGGGTGAAGTTGAGTATATGGATAGAACCATCTGCCCCTGGAAACATCTTAAACAATAACTTAATATCTTAAGAATATGAGAAAACAGATGACAAGAAGCTTGAGCTTACATTAAAGCTTAAACTATCAAGGGCTAAACCTTCCCTAGAGCAGGTTGAAATTTGCTGTTGGGGTTGGTGTGACATTCCAGAAGGTGCTGGTGCAGGCAGGAGCTCCACTGCCAGCCTCAGCAGGTAGATCACAGAGACATCTGATAACTGTCCTTGTTGTCCATTCCTGATCTCTCTGCCAGCTAGAAGTGAATGTTGCCAAAGACATCTGGAAAGTTTGAGTTGGGTTTTTTTTTGGTAACTGTCCTTGTTGTCCATTCCTGAACTGTCTGCCAGCTAGAATTGAATGTTGTCAAAGACATCTGGAAAGTCTGAGTTGTTTTTTTTTGGTTGTTGTGGGAGAAATAAACAATTAACCACTAGATGGGGCTAAATATTTACAGGATTTACAGATCCGTGGAGAAGCTTCGTGGAGGACTCAGCAGTTACTTCACAGGCTCATAAAAAGTTGAACTGTTGAGCATTTATTTGTTGTACTTAATAAGCAGAAAACTGTAAACCTGTAAGAACCCCCTTTAAGAAAGAGCTGCTGGTTAGAATATCTATTCATTAAAAAATAAGCACAATTTCCTCTTTCCAGACTCATAAATAGTTTAACCAGCATGTATAAAATGCTGCTCTATTTATGAAAGCTATTTAATTTTACACTATTAAAAAAAAGCCACCTTTGCTTTACAGAGCATTACCCTGCACATTAAGGTAGTGATATTATCTACTGCTGGTGCTGAAAGATGATAATTTGTGTGTTTGATGTTCATGTGCATGCCCATAAGCGTGGCCACTTCAGCAGCATTCTCCTGGGAGGCTTCCTGGGTTTTCTGCTTAGTGAAAACAATGTTTTCTGCATTTTCTTCCCCTCCAGAGCATATAAACCACCCAGAGAGTAAGAAGTGTGTTGCCTGAGAGGATCTTTGCTTCACGAAGCACAGTTTTTTGGTTTTACAAGTTTTTTCTCAAACTGGCTCTCTCTGGAGTGGCAGTAGTGCTCTTGGAGGGATTACAAACCTGTGTGCAAAAAGGTGAATGCAGGAAGAATGGGGTTTGCCCATTTGCTTGAATCCTTGCTCAGGCAGTACTCAGCCCTAACCTTAATGTCTGTCTAACCTACAACTGCCACTTAGTACTGTCCCATGCCAAAACTCTCCTGGTTGTCCAGCACGGGCCAGAAGCTACAACTCTAAACTTTAGGAGTTGATAGGTAACATGCTTCTTTATCTTGCAACCAAGTGTATTTTTTTTTAACCTTTTGTGAGGTGTTCTGTGATGAGGTGGTTACCTAAGTCCTGGAATTAGGAGAGAGGTGTTCTCCCAAGTGGTTACCTGCTTGTTTGGCAGCTTTATTACTTGGTTGAAATGAGCCAGCAGTGTGCCCAGGGCCCCTGCAGACATACTTCAGAGTACTACACCTTGTTTCAGTATTAATTTGAGCACCTTCTGCAACATGAAGTACTTCACAGAAGAAATGCCCTGGAGTTATTTGTGTACTTTAGTGATCTAAAGGTCAGTTCAGCATCACAGATCTTTTAGTCTGTAGTGGAAACAGTTGCTATTCAGAGTTCTTCACAGCTAATGGAAGGTGATCTTCTCTCCTCATAGGTATGTGCCATGGAACTACCACGAACTTCAGCCAGGCACCTATGATTTTTCTGGTGACAAAGACCTAGAGTATTTCCTGGAGCTTGCCAACGAGACTGGTTTGCTGGTTATCCTGAGAGCTGGACCTTACATCTGTGCAGAATGGGACATGGTACAGCCTTTTGTAACAGTTATCTCATTTCTAGGGTAAAGCTACTGCATGTGTTCTTGTCTTGAAGCAGACAAAAATAGTTGGTCTGTCCTTGGACAGGACTCTTGGTTTAGGATATTAAAATCCATACATCCTAAGTGACTTCTTATAACACAAACTTTGTGAATTTTTTTTTTACTGTGAATTACTACTTACTCATAGAAAATCAATCTTCAGGTTTCAGTATATGTTTTGATACAAAGCTAAGTTCTTATCACTCCTAAAAATGGTCACTGAAGTGATTGCCTTTCTCTTCTCAGGGAGGGCTTCCTGCATGGCTGTTGGAGAAGACATCCATTGTGCTCAGGTCTTCTGATTCAGGTAGAGGTTTCAAAAAGAACTAGCAAACATCCACTTTGGCAGCAAGGCAACTTGCTGTTTGAGGCCATTGCTAGATAATTCATATTTCAGCTTAAGCTATTTCATGAGTAAAATCCTCAGTACCTTCAATTAGAAGTGTGCATTCAAGAAGTGTATAGAACCAACAAAGGAGGCTAGAAAGTTTTCAAGGTATTGACAAGAACCATGAAAATTGGTGCCCAGAGAGAAATCATGGTCACCACTGAGGAAAAGACATAGCTCTCAGCTTGAGTCTTTCTTGGTTTTGCAACAGCCAACTGGCCTCTCATCATGGGGATCCTTCCTGGCTGATCAGTGTCCATGTAATTCCAGAGCTACTGACAGCATTATGTGCTGCCTGGTCATGGACCAGACAAGGAGGGTTGAGATGAGACAGGAGGTCAATGTGTTACTGCATTAAATGCTGTCCTGTTACACTTTACCTATTTAGAACACAAGGTAAAAACTACCCATATATAATTCAAAACAAAAGCTGGGAAAAAGCAGAACAGTTGTGACACATTTATACTGGTGTATTGCAGATTACCTGGCAGCAGTAGAGAAATGGATGGGTGTCCTTCTGCCAAAGATGAGACCTCACCTCTATGAAAATGGAGGTCCAATTATCATGGTGCAGGTAATTTCCTGGCAATCAAACCAACCCAAGCAGCATGAATGCTTCTTGTTCTTGCAGACACTCTGTGGGTCTTGGGTGGTCATGGCAGATATTCCTTGACAGTTTCAGGTAGCTGGAAGATTCTGATGAGCTCCCTTATCCTAAAGAAATGGATGCTCTGGCTCCAGAATTCATAGAGCCCTTGTCTGCTCTGTCAAAGGTGTTCCCCACAATTAGAGAAAGCAGTAGAGGAAACTGTTGGAGCTTTTAGAGCTGAGTTTGATGTCCATTCTCACATAAATTCAACATACATTACAACTGCCTGAAACCCTCTGTCAGGCAAGAGAGCAATAAGGATACCTGCAGGAAGAAGCAAAAGCAATATGGAATAAGCAAAAAGCTGGTGACAAAACCAGCCTCAAAATACAGATTTTTTTTGAGTTCTGAGCATCTAACTGAAGCTGTAAATGTTTCAGGACATGTGCATTCATGGTGAGTAGCTTCTCTCTTGAGCTCCATCCAGACAGGTAAACGTTCTGAGAACGCGGCTGCAGTTTTGGTCGTGTCACAACCTCTTCTATAGTTTCATTGTTCTGTTTGGGAGCTGGCTCATGGCTCTCCATTGAGCTCTCCAGTTTTGGTGTCAGACTCAGACTGAAATTGGCCACTGCTTTAGTGAGCTGCTCTTGCTGTGCAGGTGGAGAATGAGTATGGGAGCTACTTCGCTTGCGACTATGACTACCTGCGTTCCCTCCTGAAGCTCTTCCGCCAGCACCTGGGGGATGAGGTGGTGCTCTTCACCACTGATGGTGCCAGCCAGTTTCACCTGAGGTGTGGAGCTCTTCAGGGTCTTTATGCAACAGTGGACTTTGCCCCAGGTTGGAGACTGCTGCTTGTTACCAAAAAAACTTCTGGGGTGTGTGTGTTTGCGGCGGGACAAAGTGACTTAACTGCTTGGCAGATCTGAGTGATAACTGCTTGGCAGATCTTCTTTCAATCTGGTGATAGGCATTTGTGTGTATTTGATATGCTCTTACACATACCAGAATCACCCACAAGTACCCATTAGAGAATCAGTCACTTCCTCAATCATGAAACCATAAATAAATAATTTACACTGCTCCTAGTGCGTATCTTTTAAAAATTAGCAGTGATAATTGGCACTGATTCCATGGATTTTTTTTTTGTTGGATTTTTTTTTGTTGTCTTGTTTTTTTTTTTTTTAATGTTCTCTCTGTCCCAGAATCCAGCTTTTGTAGTTAATTTCTTTTTAAACCAGTGGTTACTGGGGAGAAAAAAGATCACTGCTGAAGATCCTCATCAAAATGTGCATAGTGCCACAATTTGCTGTGTTATAGGCCTGAAGAATGGTGGAGTAACCATGGTATGTTCAGAGACTGGCCTTTTAATAGGAGTGGTAGTGATGTAAACGTTCATATCCTGCATGGACTTGGCAAAACAGGCTTAAGGCACAAGAAACAAATTCCAAGCTAGAGCTTTCTGTATTGTTTTACATGTGGCCTTTTTTTGTCTGTTATTCTCTCTGCAGTCAAAGATGTGGGCTTGGCAGGAATCTGTTTTCTCATAAACAGATTGAAATTTTAAACTTCTTTATATGTACACATAGCAGTTCTGAGACATCTCAGACAAGACATCTCTTTTAGTGAAATTAAAGACTGAGAAAGTCCTGGATGTAGCAATTCAATTTTACTTCCATCTCCTTATAGGTGGCAACGTCACAGCAGCATTCTTAGCTCAGAGGAGCAGTGAACCTTCAGGCCCTTTGGTATGTCTTTTCACTTCATTTCCCTGTTTTGCTCCTCACCTTGCAGTGGTTAATAAGAGAGGAGTTGACAACCATGTGTTGGACAGTTTTAGAGACACTTTTACAAAGATATCATTCCCAAGGCAGTCAGAAAAACTGCATAAAGGAGCTTCTGTCTCTTTGTCAGATCCACATGAGCTGCTCTTCTGCAAATCCTATTTTAGTCTCAAAAGGTATTGATGTTGTTTGAGTGTTTTTCCTTCCTAAGACACATGTTTGCAAAGCAGTGGAAACAGTATGATTAGAAGAGTTAGTGAGGAACACGTGTGGGTGGAGGTTAAGCAAAATTAAAAGGGCAGGTTAGAAGTTGCTTCCTGTTTTCAGTTACCTTGGAGGTTTTATACAAGCTATAATGGGATGTGAGGTCACTGGAAGCCATTTTGACCAATGGAGAAGACCCAAGATTATCTCTGTGCAATCAAATTGTTCAGAACACCTTTTGAATAGCTGAAAGATTTACTTCCAATTACATCTAGTCTGTGTGCTATTCTACAGTCAACTGATGGGTTTCATAGTTTATTTGAATACCAAGCATCTGAGACATGTTTGTGTTGACAGGTTCCAAGGAAATCTCTACTTTTTGGTACTTAATTTTATAAGGACTCTTTGAAAAGAATTTCTTTCAAAATTGATTTCATTTCTTTGACCATTAATCTGCTGAAAAGAACTGATCTTGGTGTATGCTTGGCTGTATTTATAACAGCCTAAAAATGGCTCGAATGAGTCAAGGTGCCTTTTTTCCTTCCCTCTTAGTCAGTAACCTTAAATCACATTGCATTCTGTTTTTGTTCCCTCTTCATGTTTTCCCTTCCTCTTTTGCCCTTTGTCCTCTCAGGTTAATTCTGAGTTCTACACTGGCTGGTTGGATCACTGGGGGCATCGTCACTCTGTTGTGCCTACAGAAACCATAGCTAAAACACTTAATGAAATCCTGGCACGTGGTGCTAATGTCAACCTGTAAGTGTGTGCTCAGGAGGGGTTCATTTGGGGAGGGGATTATTTTTTTTTCCCCAATTCAGCAAAACTTGATTGAAGTCAATGGCTTTTTTTTTGCTTTTTAGGTACATGTTTATAGGTGGGACTAACTTTGGCTATTGGAATGGTAAGAAATTATTTCAACAATACTAATGATATAAGGGAGCTGTTTATGAATCAGATATAAGTAATGTATTCTGTGAAAAAATAAGCTACATCTGCTTTCACATGACAAAAGATGACTGCACTAGCTGTTGTCTGTTGTCAGCATGTTGTCCTAAACCCACGTGGCCTTTATCTTTGCAGAGGCCACTTCTGCTTCACTCAGTCCTGGGAAGCAGTTGAAACATGGGTAAATGTATTTCTGTTCAGAGTATTCCTGAAAAGTATAACAGACTAGTGAGGAATGGAGTTCAGAAGGACATTGTCCTCCAGCAGGAGCAGTTGAGGCCAAATCTCAAGGCCTACATTGAATCTAAATGTAGCAGAGTCTGGCTGTGATGAGAGAGAATTCTGAATGTTGATACTTTTGGAAAGAAAGCAACTCTTCCAGTTTTCATTGCTTTTTTTTCCCTTAGGTGCTAACATGCCCTATATGCCACAGCCCACTAGTTATGACTACGATGCTCCACTGAGTGAAGCGGGAGATCTGACAGAAAAATACTTTGCCTTGAGGGAAGTCATTGGTATGGTGAGTGTCCTTTAGAATGGTTCTTTGCAACACTCCTGGTGTACTGCAGACTCTCTTGCTCTTGGGTTGGTAAGACAACCTGTGGGGCTTCTCCTCTGTGCTTGTGGAAGGTCTACTGTGGATCATTTTCTTCAATTTCTCCATTATCCCTAAGCTTTCCATCAATGGGATAATTTTGATAGCCTTTCAAGGGGGTCCTCCTCTCCTGATACAGCTTTTCTCACCATAGAAATTCCCAAACTTCCTGTTTTTAAGTTGTTTTCTTCAAGGCAAGATCCCTATCTGAATTGTAAGTAGTGTTCTAGTGCAGTGAGAGAACCTTGATAAGATCTGAAGTGTTCAGTATGACCTAAGGTGTGTTGGGTCATGATACAGCTTTTTTTTGGTGTGGTTTCTTTGTCTCTTAGCTCCCATATCCATAGGATCTCAGTGAAGTTTTCCTGCCTTTGCTGTGGGTTCTAAACCCATAACAATCTCTCTACTCAGTTGCAGATTGAGGTGAGGCTGATGAAAAAAATTTAAGCTGCCTGCAACTGATGACAAGATGTTAGCTGTGCTACAAGGCCAAGACATTCTCATCTCCCTTTACTGCTGCCTTCAATTAATAAATGTAATAAAGAGGAAAGGCTTCAGTCTTTCAGTTGCTGACAGCTTTCTCTAATTTTTACTACTTGGACTGAAATTTCATACTTATGACTTCTGTTGGGTGACTAGAGTTGTTTTTTGTCTTTTAAGCCTGAATATCTTGATTATTTTCAAGTGCAGAGTGGAAGACGTGGACTTGTTACTGGGAATATAAATAACAAAATAAGACAGTAAAGCAAATTCTAGCCACAGGAGGGCTCCAAGGGCACTGACTGTGCTTTTTACTGTTGCCTCACGTTGAATAGTTATTAAAAATTGTTTACAATCTGTGATCAAGTCACATGTTTGCCTTTTACAAAACCCTTCATCTTGGACTAGCTGTAACGCTTCAGTGCAGAGAGATTATCTACTGGCAGCCAAAGTTCTGCTTTTGTAAGCTGTGAAGTAGAAAGTGAGAATTAATTAAAGCCTGTTTGTATGCAAGCTTCCTGTGTTTGTTGTTGTTTTTTTTTTTTCCTCTTCCTTCCTTTTCTAGTATAAACAGTTACCAGAAGGTCTCATCCCTCCAACAACACCCAAATTTGCATACGGGAGAGTTCGCTTGGAGAAGGTAAATTCTCAGCTGTAATATGCTATGTGCCTTTCCACAGTGCTCTGGGGCTGCTTTTTGCCAAAAAAAGGTTTATGAGGGTATCACAACAGTCTCTAGAGATCCTACAAAAGAGAGAGGAAAGCCCTGAAAGCAAACTTTTAGGAAGGAGGGAACAGAGACTGGGAGCTGGGAATCGTGCCTGTGGTGGAAAATGAGAAAATGTCTGTTATCTGGATATAAAAAGATAATAATTTTTACAATATGCAGTTTTACTAAGCTGAAATTAATATATTAAGTCATTACTAAACTGAAATTAATGTATTAACAGAATTTAGTTGGCTGAGAACTCCTGGATGGGTAATGGAGCTGGGGGAGCACAAGCATGAGAGCCATGAGCAAAGAGGGGGTTTGTAGCTGCTGATGCCTCTTGAGCAGAAGCAGCAGGCAGGATATACATACCTCTTAAATACTTCTAGTTGTTTTGAGAAGACAACTAGAAGAGACCTTTTCCTTTTTTCCTTTTGTTGGAAGAGACCTTTAAGATCAAGTCCAACCAGTCCCCCAGCACTGCCAAGTCCACCACTAAAAAATGTCCCTCACACCACATCTCCACAGCTTGGAAACCCCTCCAGGGGTGGGGACTCCACCACTGCCCTGGGCAGCCTGGCACAGCCCTGGGCAACCCTCCAGGGCAAGAAATTGTTCCTCAGGGACAACCTCAACCTCCCCTGGGGCAACTTGAGGCCATTTCCTCTTCTCCTTGGGAGAAGAGCCCGACCCCCACATCACTCCAGCCTCATTTCAAGTAGCTGTTGAGAATTAGGCTCCTGCAGTAGGTGTAGAGGATGGTGTAAGGGTGGATGGAAGAGACAACAGGTATCAGCATGGCTATATTCATTCTGCTGGGCACAAACAGGTTGTTTTGAGGTGGAGGATTACTGCAGGTGGTCTCCTGGATGCTGGTATTCACAATGCTTTCATTTTATACTTTATATTTTTAATTGGGCAGCCTCCTTTGCAGGCAGTGATGTCTGATCTGTCATGCACTGCAGCATTGCAATATTTGCCAGTGAGAAGGTTTCACAGATGTTTTTGAGTCCTCCCACTCAAGTGGTGGGCAGAAGTACTTGTATAAAAGTGATTCACCAGTAAAGCTGAAACATTTCTTTACTGTTTTCAACATCATTTGAGTATCTCCAGACCTTTTAGGACAGGGGTTGCCAGGCGAGGTTTCACTGAACCTCCTCTTTTCTTTGGTAGTGACTAATTATATACCACTATCAGTACACCCACCACTTCTGCTAACACAGGTTGACAGTGTTTGGGACCTTGGCAATCAGATTTTGACTATTCCCATCTTATCAGTGGTTGTGGCTCTCAGGGCTCTCCATTTTCACCAGAACAATGAACTTTCTTTGTCATGCCTTCCAGAAATGAATGCTGCAGGATGCCTGGCCCAGACACCCGCCTTACAAAGGAGGAGTCAGAGGGTTAAACTTGCTCAAATGTCAGAGCTTTGACCTGGCTGTCACGCTGGGAGCCTTGCTTCTGCACCTTCTCACCTTCTACACCTCCTGCTTCTTTGAGAGAAGGTGTTTCACTCTCCACCCATCAGTTTTAGGCATGTCTGAGCTGCCAGGAGTCAGGTTCCTGTCGCTGCCATCTGCACTGAAAGCTTCTAGAACTGTTTTTGTGGGAAGAAAGCTGCTTTTTGCTCTGTAAAGCCACTGCTTAACTTCAGCAGCAGTTTATACTCCTCTGCTAGGTTACCCTGCAACACAGAATGAATATCAAACCTCAGAGGTTCTGTACCACCCTAGCCAAAGCTGTCCTCCCAACTCTCTGAAGCCCCTGCTGGGACCAGGCCCAATGCATTTTGTTGTATGGTTTCTAAAGTAACTTAAGACTAAATAGGATAAATTCATCTTGCTGACTCTTGATGGGACCAAATTGTATCCCTGCTTAGCTCAGAACAATTCCAGAGTAACTCACTGGCAACCAGAGGCATTTTCCCTAGCTTGATTGTAAATATAATTGAGCCAATAAATTATATAGTTGGTTTGTATTAATTGTCCAGAGTCGTCGTGTTTGTTCATAGAACTTTTGTGAGAAACTCCTGGCTTAGTTCTCATTAAATAATAAATTCCCTGACCCTCCAATGTCTGCTGTTTTTCATGCTGCAGGTGGGCACTGTGGTGGAGGTTCTGAACAGGCTGTCATCTGCTGGACCAGTGAAAAGCACTTACCCATTAACCTTTGTTCAGCTAAAGCAGGTGAGGATTCCTTCACTATTACTTGCAGTGATCTTGTAAAGTTTATTTGAACAACCCTCCCGTGTCCAATATCTTAAACCTTATCTCAACACCAAAGTAACAGTGAAAGCATCCAGGATTTTTGCATTGGAGACCTTCCTGTATTCTAGTTTTGCACTGGAGCTTTTCTCTTTCCATTTCAGTGCTGTTTCTTTATCTCTCTCTCCTCTCTGAAATATCAATTTTGAGGCTTTTTTTATCCTCCTTTTTTCTTCACTATTCACCTTCCTTATCCTGTTTTTTCTTTGCCTCTCCCCACCTGCTGTCAGAGTAAGCAGAGTGCCTGAGACTCTCCCCTCTCCCCTGTGTTCCTTCTCTGTCAGTCTGCATTGGTTTCCCTGTCCATTTTGGTGACTTTCCTTATCTCCCCTCACAGTCAAAGATCCTTTCCCTTGCTGCTGAGGGGCTCTTTTTCCAGAGCACAGAGCTCCTAGATCACTTCTGTGCTGAATTTAGCAGAGACTGGACTAATTACCTTCAGCTAAAATAAACTACTCAGAGAGGTAGCAGCTGGAGGAGGAGAGATAAGCAACAGGGAGCAGCTCAGAAGATGCCTGAGATATGACATTAATCAAGTAGGAGTTCAAAGCTCAGATTTTTTCCTTCCCAAGCCACTACTACAGAGGTGTGAGAGAAACTGTAGGTAGTATGTTGTGGCTGGAGATAATTTCTAGTAGGCTTTTCTCTCTCTCATCCTCTGACCTTCCCACCTTTTGTACTCTGCTTAGGAAAACTCTTGAGAGGAGAGGGCAGGCAGCAGAGCTTCCTAGCAGCTTTTTTCTTTCCCTCCCTCACCCCCACCTCCTTTTTCTGGGCACCTTGTTGTGAATGTAATGCAAATATAATAATTATAGCAGAATGGAAGTGGTTTATTCTCACTTCTTCCTGCCAGTGTTATGTTCTAATCCAAGTCTAGAAGATAAATGTTTTTTTGGCCAATGACTGAAAGAGATGATGGTTTTTTTTTTCACTTATTTTTAATCTGTTTCACTTTGTGATGAGAACAAAGCTAATGACCATGACTTATTTTCTTTTCTGATGGGTAACTTAGTGAAAACTATTCCACAATGTTCCTGATGTAAATCAGGTAGTTTTTAAAATAGATAATATCAACTTGATTATGTCAGTTTATGGGCAATGGGTGACAAGTTCACTTTCAGGCTTGTATAAAGTCAGTTATGAAGAACGTGGAAGGGATTTTCCAGCTATCTTTTGATTTTAATGAAGAAATAATACTGTTGGTCTTTATTAAGAGATTTGTTTTTATTGAGGGAAGGCATTCGTAGCCAAGACCCTTATCTTTTAGTTAAAGAAACGTTCTGATGATTCATTTAAAAATGGAAACTCTGAGGAATTTACACCCATTACTTAAAGGTCAAAGTGAACACTAATCTCAGGCTGGTATCTGTGATAGATCTTATCTGAAGTGAATGAAAGTTACAGCGTGTAGGCAGGAATGAGGGACCTTGCTAATTCATGACCTCCGTTGAAGCCATGGGATTACTTGGTTTGTTAACCTGTTTGGGTTTTTCCTCTCTTTTCTTAGTATTTTGGGTTTGTGCTGTACAGAACCACGCTTCCAAAAAACTGTACTGAGCCAACACAACTGTCTGCACCCTTCAATGGAGTCCACGACCGAGCCTACGTCTCCGTTGATGGGGTAAACATTGTTTGCTGAGACTCATTTCAGCCACCCGTGGCCCTCACAAAACTCATGGATACACTCTACCTTTTGTTTTTCCTCCTTTCTCCACCTTATCAAAGCAATTTTACTAAATAATCTTATTAAATGAGATGAAGGAAGTGAGGAAGGACACAGTCGATTCGTACTCAATGTTCATTTTCATAGTTCAGGACTGTTATTTCTAAGGGAAATGTAATTATTTCCATTTTGGGGCTATTTGAATGTTGATACAGATTCATGATGTTAGTGAAAAAAACAAAACCTAGAAGGAGGATTTACTTGCAGGTTCAAAAAATTACTGATATATGCCTGGTGGCTTTCTGCACTAATTCCATAAATATTTTAATTTTCTTTATTCTTCTGCTTTTTTTTTTCCCCTTGAGGGTGGTTGGGAGTGGAAGCCTTGAACCTGTGTCTTACCTTATGAAACTGGCTGCTGACCACAAGGGTTTTTTTAAAAAAAAAAAAGCTTACTACAGTGTAAACTTTACCTTTCTTCCCTTCAGCTGGGTTTTATTCCTGCTTAATGAGAATTGGTATCAATTGTCTTACTTTGATAGCCTATTTTTAAATTAACCTTTGACCTGTGCTGACTATCAGCACCTTTGTGTCTAGCTCAAGCTATTCTTAGGCTATGGGAATAAAGTGAAATAGTGATGTGAGCTTAACTGGGAGATGAAGCCCCTTTTACTGATATTGCAAAAAATCTTTTCCTTAAAAAAACTGCTAAAAACCTTTTTTAAAAAGGAGCTAGGAAAGAAGTGGTGTCAGACTAATGCTGCCTAGGAGCACATCCAGCTGATGTACTGCTATGTGAATATTGACATAGCAGCTTTTTGTGTGTGCTCACATGCAAGAGGAGGAAAAGAAAATTAGGATTTTTTACTTTCTTTGTTTCCTTTGTCCTCTTTCTTTTCTTCATGCAAGTTGAAGAGACAAATAACAGAGTTTTGTTGGTTTTCTTCCTCTTGCTGTAATTGATATAGGTTCCTCAAGGTGTTCTTGAAAGGGAAAAAACCCTGATGATAAATATAACTGGGAAGGCTGGAGCAAATCTGGACATCTTGGTAGAGAATATGGGCAGAGTCAACTTTGGTAGATACAACAATGACTTTAAGGTGAGTAAAATCCATTGAGTAAATTAAGGTAATTAAAAGGTAAGTGAAATCCAAAACTACTGGACTGTAGTTGCTATTCCTGTTTTCCACAGCTTAAAAAGAAAAGCAGTGGGTTAGAGAATAAAGATCAGGATTGCACAGCTGTAACTTCATCTCAAAATATAAATGTCACTGAAACAAATGTGAAATTATAAACTGACAAATGTCTTTTAAATTTTTTTTGTTGGTTCCCTTCTGTTGTTGGCCAAAGTGTTGCCCACAAGACTTTCATGTTGAGTTGAGCCTGTAGCTCACATCTAAAAATGTGCAAAGCTGTTTGGGTAAACTAAAAAGGGGTTGGAAATTGGTCTAAATCTTGGTTGTACTTTGAGGCTTGTGAAGCCTGGGATTGTGTTTGTGTGTGTATATTTATACTGTGGTGGGATAAACCTGACTGGATGTCAGGTGTCCACCCAAGCTTAAGTTTAATTAAGCCAATTAAACAGAGTAGGATAATGAGAAATAAGAGCAAATCTTAGAAACATCTCCCTACCACCACCTTGCTTTGCTTTTGCCTTCATTGTGTGAATACCCTGCTGTACTGCACGTGTGGTTCTGTGGAGATTAAACCAGGCTCCAAGAGCTTGGATCTGACTGTAAACTTAAAGCATTTCATTGAATCAAGGTCACAAAGCATGTGCCTTGATTTCTGTGATATGGTGTGTTGGCTGCAGACTGTTTGTGGGAAGTAAATACAGCTTTCTCTGCGATTGTGCAGGTTAATATCTTTGGTTAGTGAGTCAGTGTTACCAAATCTCTTGATGGTATCTCACACTTGTGATATTTAGCAGTTTATCTGCTGCTCTTTATTAAGTCTTGAGTTTTGGAATCGTGCACGTTGAAGCAAAACCAATTTTCACAGTTAGGGGAAAAATGTTTGAAAATAAAACTGGGATATCAGTGGGAGTTCAAAAGTTTGAAGAGGAACAGATCTTTCATGTAGAATAAATGAAACCCTTTATTCATAAGCAGAGCTTATCACTTGGTGAAAACCAGAAGCTTGCTCATTTTCATACACAGCCTGGCAGTTGTTACAAGTGCTTGGATTTCAGTGTTTATTCCTGACTGATTTATAGTTGCAGCCAAATAACATGCAGCTAATTATATTTTGGGTTTGTTTTTACTAGGGTCTAGTTTCAAATTTAACTCTTGGTGAAGATATCCTTGTTGAATGGGAAATCTATCCTCTAGACATAGATGGAGCAGTGAAGCATGGCATTAATGGTTACCTTGAGGAACCAGAGAGATCTGTGGACAATCCACTGGGCTATGAAGCACCTGCTTTTTACATTGGGACACTTTCAATTCCTGAAGGGATTCCAGACTTGCCTCAAGACACCTACGTCAGTTTTCCTGGCTGGACAAAGGTACAAAGTTTTTCCTGTAAAAACTTGAAGTCCACTCAGAAACATCCTGAAACTTCTATAGAAAATTGAAGTTCATCTCTCATGCATGGGTAAAAATTAGTTGTAGTGTTGGGGTGTCTCAAATATGTTTAAATGACCAGGAAATGGATTCCTTGCTTTAAATCTGGAGGTGAACCATTAAGAGAAGGGAAACACATATTCAAAAGGTACATGGTATTGATGCTAGAAAGTAGAACCTCACAAAAAGAACCCAAACAACCTAGTTTTTCAACAGTGAGAAACACAAACTGTCAGGCCATTCAGAAAAGTGGAATTTAGTTGTTTGTTTGGGTTTTTTTTTGTCTTAAGATGTGGAGCAGAAAGAGCTTTTTGCAGGGAGTGAGTGAAAACATGGCTTGAGATAAACTCCCATTTTTATTCTGGAGAAAGTGAGATGCTACAGGACACTTTTCTGGTTATATTAAGTGATTAAAAGTGACTAAGAACACAGTTGTGGTGCTGTGTGAAGAACTATGGGTCCTGTTAGAAAGCACAGAGTGTTGGACCCAACTGCTGGTGCTGTAGGAGCTGCTGGGGATTTATCTGCAGCATTGTACTGGCTCAAGTGCTTTCTGTCCTGGAGAAGACTGATTCATTGCAGGCACTCAGTGTTGCTGGCTCTGAGGAAGTCTGACTTAGTCCCTGTTCCTATATATGTGCATGTCTTACACAATCACTGCCTAAAATCCCAGAATAGCCCTTTGCCCACCTCGCTTGAGGAAGCGTGATGCCTTTACTGGTACATGCCCCTGAAAGTATGGTTAGATTTAACAAACTTCTTTTTTTTTCTTCAACTGAAAAGAGGATTTGGGCTCAGGACTGTTGTTGATTTCTGTGGAATTTTGGGTTGTGGTCACTGACCCTCTTAAAGGCAATCTTGTTGCTGCGGAGAGAGATCCCCCCTTCTTTAGTCTGTCTAGGGCATGTTTATTGAGTGTTTATAAAGTGTTATGATTTGCTGGTTTAGGGCTTACAAATTCCTGAGTGTGCAGGCTTTAGAAACTGCAAGCTTAATAAGGACAGCTTGGCATTGAGAAATTTAAGTTCATAGCTTTACTGGAAATATGAGTTAAAACCAGCAGCTGATGAAGGTCAGGAAGAAAGACCTCTCTGGTTATATCTCCTGCATGAGAACTTGAATTCTGTTGATTCCTAACAAACTCCCACTTCCCACAGTCACTCTGTGGTGGGTGCACTCCCTCATTTATCCTTCACCATTAGGGAGATGGTTTGGTGGTCACCTGGCAGTGCTGGGCTACCAACTGGACTTCATCTTGAAGGTCTTTTCCAACCAGAAGGATTCCATGATCTCGTGCGTGCGGAGCTTTGCATTAATGCCACATTTTCTTCTAAAACTACTACAGAAGCAGAGTAGTGAGCTCTTCTCTTTCCTCTTAATGCAGCAACAACAAGCCACAAAGCAAGATAAACTCGATTTAAAAAAAAAAAAAAAGGTTGTAACAAAAAAAATGTTTGAGGTCATAATTTATTAGCACCTTGGCAGAACTGTGTCAGATAGGATCTTATACCACGGAAGTGGATACAGAGCTGAAATAGCTCACCTGTGTTTGCAGATGCACCAACTCCATAGAAAACATGCCTTGTGAGGTTCATAACATTAGTTTTCATAAGTAGTTGAAAAAGAAAACACAAGAAAAATACCTCTGAAGCAGCTTGAAAAGCCATATTTATTATAGGACAATTGTGCTTCTGTAGATGCTTGAAAAGTATTATTCTGATTTCAGCTTTCCCTGACAACTTTAAAAATCAGAGAGCAGTAAAAGTCCTTACTTAATTCAGGCTATTTTATTATTTTTATCAGTGTATATCAATGCCATGAGTGACTTTATATCTACATTCTGATCCCCAAAGGCCAAAGCATAGAGGGGAAAATACAAATGCAGTTATCTGTTCCCGTCCAGTTCTCTTGTCTGATGATGAAAGGATACTTGGGAGGTGTAAAACTAATTATTAGTCCAAATTTGCTGTATGTACTCCTTGAAATTCTGTTTTCATGAGTATTGTCAGGGTTACTGCAGCATTTGACTGTTTTCTTCTTAAATATTAATGATAGTTTTAACTCTCTGAGAAGTTTAGGTTCTCTTGACTGTCCTCAGCATTTTCTCGAACGTGTTTTCTATCTTCATGTTCCATCAAACTGAAAGGTGGAGGAAATTCAGTTACCATGCCAAGAGTGCTACACCTAAAGCTGTTTTGTCATTCAATCTGTCCAATTATTAAAATGCTCTTTTTTTTTTCTTTCTCTCTTACCAGGGGCAAATTTGGATCAATGGCTTCAATCTGGGTCGCTACTGGCCAGCCCGTGGTCCTCAGCTGACCCTTTTTGTCCCACAGAACATCCTTGTTTCCTCAGTGCCCAACAACATAACAGTGCTGGAGCTGGAGGGTTCTCCCTGCAGCACCCAGGCGTGTGAGATAGAATTTGTAGACACACCTAATATCAATGCAACCACACTGTATGAAAATGCTGCAGCCCAGCTCTTTGTTAGAGACACGTGGCTGAGCCATCTATAATGGTTTGAGTATTTCCTTATCTTCCCCCCCTACTTTGCTTCCCTTTCCCTCAAACCATACTTCCCTTTTTTTTTTTTTCAAAGACTCTGTTAATCAGCAAGTTGTTCAGCTGAGGCAACTTTTAAAATTCTTTAAGGACATTTGGTTGGTTTGGTTTTGTTTTTAATCTGCCAGAATAAATTACTGAAAATGTCTTTAAAAAGTAAAAGTTGTCGTTTTAAAATTCCTCTTGGACTGTGATGCTGAACTCAACTGGGAGATAACATTCCAAATCAGTCCAGTAAAATGTAGTCCTTGGAAGCTGTTGACATTACAGGAACCTTCTGACACTTTTTTTTACTGTCTTTTGCAACTGGAGAGGAGCCTAGAGAAGGGATGTGCAGTCTAGCTGGCTTGCTGCTTTTACTCATGTAGTCTGGTAGGTCTGAGGTGCCAGCAGACTGAGACACTTGCAGCTGATTTTATCACCTGGTTAGTATCAATGTCACTGCAGTCTGAACAGATTCACTGCCAGCATTGGTGGACCTCCTTGGGTTCTTTTTCCACCTCCATGCAAGTGACCTTGGAAAAATGTCAGTTGGTTTCTTATAGGAGCAGTGAGAAGAATCATGGAAGAGAACACTCAGATGTAAGCTGGTTCAAACAGCAGGAA